AATGAGGCCTGGGCACTGTACAAAAAAAATCCTTCCTGGGAGTCCTGAGGTGACCTTTCTGGGGACCGATACATCATTTGGCCAAAGCCACCCTACCCTGCTGAAAAAATACTTAATAGAAGGCAATTGTTCTTCCTAGCCGTACGACCCTGACCTGTTATAAAGATGTTATGTCCCTCTCGAACCATATTCAGCGCCTGGCGCTGGTCCTCAGAAAGTCTATCAAACATCAATAGGGCAAGGTTATAAGTGCAAAGGAAATAACAACGAAGGAGGATCTACAAAACATAAAACGAGCAAAGGATAGAAGTGAATTTTGGCTCTTACCGCTCTTACCGCGGCATTTGTACAACAAGACCAAATTCAAAGAGAGGTGTCACAATGGTTCACATATTTAACTGATAGAACGTTCAGTTGTATTGACAAGAAGTCGGCGTGTTACGGTCGCATTAATCGCTAAATAGGTGGTTTTCACGTTACGTCATCGCCACCATGCTGGTGGACGGTAAACAAAAGATCGCTCATTAGTTCGCTTTGTTTGTCCACCAGCATTTGTTCATTTCACCATTGTTATTTGTGTCTCCCGAAAACCACCTATGTGTTAATCGCGCTAGTTCTTTGTTTACTGGCGCACATGCCTTTTGCATTTGTCTCAGTTATCGCAATTCATATTCTTGTCATTATTTTGGACATTATTTTGTAAGCTTCATCGTTTATTTACGATAGTTTCGCTCGAGAGTTCACAGCAACAGTATCTCAGTTATCATCTACCTTTTGTTCAACCTTGTTTTTAGCCCGCCTTGTAAGTATTTCGCTTGGTTATTTCATTAGTTTCATTACTGTTATTTGCATTCCTTAGTAAAAGAAATGGGGCGCCTTGTAACTCGGCAGACTATCCTGGTTTTATTTATTCTTTTTGGCCATTTAAATTTAGGCGCGTGTGCGGGGTTTGCTCTAGCGAATTGTGATTGGCTAGGAAGAACAATTGCCTTCTATCATTTTTTTTTCCAGCAGGGGAGGGTGGCTTTGGGCAAATGATGTATCAGTCCCTAGAAAGGTCACCTCAGGACTCCCGGGATGGAATTTTTTGTATAGTGCCCAGGCCTCATTTTCTTGGCCGCGCGTTGATCTGGCCCGGCTGCTTCGGCGAGCATATTCTCGGTCTGTTTGGATTATATCCTTCGAATTTGTCAAAGTCTGTGGGATTCGTTTCTCTATCTGGGAAAGCTTCATTGGTTTCTATATCTCCTGCTATCCTATTTCTACGATCCTGGCATGTTTATTTTCTGTTGGAGTTTTATTTTCTGTTGAATTTTGTGGAAAAAGTTGTGTTGAATGACAGCATGTCGGCGAAAATGGCACCTCGTGTTTCCTGCCTTGTATATTATTATTGTAGATAGAGTGAATTTGAACAAATTACTGCAAATTATCACGAAACTTCGTTGGAGCGATAAGGACAACAACAATTAACTGCAGAGTGAGTTTTATTGATCTTTATTTAGTATTATCTAGAAATTTTAGCATGGTTTTTTTACCCCATACAAACACTGTAATTTTACTGGAACCGTACTGTGGTACTATCACAGAGCCTGGGTTACCTGTGGATGACCGGAACACTCTGGTATCAATCGATTGAGCTACAGTGTTCATGCAGCTGAAAATCGTAGCAGTGTTTGAAAGCAATTCTAAGCGCTTCAATATAAAACGCTTTCATTGCAATAGTAGTCACACAATGTAAAGGTATAAAGATTATTCTAAAAGAACAACGCAAAAAAGCATAAACTGGAGCCCATCACTATGGCATAAATTTCAATTGCTTATCAGCAAATAAAAAAATTCGTTCCGAGTCGTTGTGTCTGGTGTTCCGCCAAACAAACGTTATCGATTCAACACATAAAGAAACCAGACGTTAAACAGAAAATTCAGGCAACAATTTATTTTTAACAGATCAATTCATAAACATCTACTCGCGTACAGAAAAGATACAAGGAACATTCCCAGTGAACTACATCAGTAATGATCGCGCGGCCTGTTGTCATTGCTTTGTGCTACACAACTACGAATCGAGTCATAAATCGAATGCCTCTTAAAACATTTCACGTTCGATGGATTGTTTCCTCAAACCTCACACAACTTCCTGTACAACAAAAGATTGCTGGGTTTTCTCCTTCTGATTCCAGGCACTCGATAAATTAAATTGTTGCAGACAATAGGAAGTCATGTCGCAGATCAGCAACACTCGCCGCTGCGTCCCATTAGCAGTCCACGGCTGTATCGAGGAAGCTCTTTCTAGCTCTCTTTACATATTTATCGTTTAAAAAATATCCGTCAAAGGTAGATCGTTGACTGGAGAACATTAATAGACAGAAATTAAAGCCAGCAGATGACCACATTAAAGGCCACATTTGATCCGTTTGTAGGAACACTGACAACAACGAACATGGCTTCGTACGGTTCTCCTCAATGACTTCGAATTTTCTCGACAATACTTGCACAAAAAAACAAAATATGGCGTTTAAAACTTCCCAAATGGACCAAATAGCTCTTGAATACTGATATTATGGCTTTCTCGGGCGTCTCAGGGTAAATGGAAGAGGATTTCTTCACCAAAACGCCAATCTTGAAAAACTGTTCGCCAGAACAGAAATAAAGTTGCCGCACATGCGCAGAAGCGTGTCACAGTCCCTTTAAGTTTGCACTTCATGTCGCTTGCAGTGCGTGATCGCCAGTGAAATGAATTAGCCGGCAAATGTAAAATTACATAACGTCACTCTAACCGACCAGAGGCCATACCGATATTTTTCAATTGCCTTAAAAGTGTTTTTTTCCTTGCCTGAGCGCTATAAAATTTTTTACCAGTAATTGGCTATGGATTGAAATTTGTGAAAATGCAGTTTTAAGTAAAATCGATATTACTATGACAACAATAAACAAATAACTTTGAAATTGATGAAAGCCGAATTTTGTGTGATCTAGACCAGCCACTGAAAATCCAACAATAGGAACTTAAAGTTTGGTGTTTAGCAAACAATCTTTGTAAGAAGTAAAAAATTCCGTATGTTTGAATTCGACTAAAATAAGAATATATTTCAAACCTTAAATTTTCAATAGCCGTGACAGATTATTTATTAAAAACGTTAAAAATGACTCAAATTATTCTTAAGTAGCGTCAAAATGCTGCTTAATATCATATTTTGATGCTAGGAAATTTTGGTGTATTTTCGTGCTTGCGATCTTGAAAACTAACCCGTTTTCCTACACCTGTATAAGTGCAACTTCATTCAAAATTTGGACTTTTAGCGCTTATTGTATAGCTCTGAATCGACTCGAACGAATTTTTTTAAACTCTCTTCAAATTGTAAAAGGAAAAGGACTAATTAAACACGCATTTTTTTTGTATACTGAGTGTTTATAATTTTAGATCATTGTTTTCATATGTACAAGTAGTCGAAAGCGTACCTTCCCCTTCTAACGACTACTGGAAATGATAATCTGGGCAAGTTGTCTCAGTGTAGTTTTTTTTTTTAATTTCTGCTTTAATCCTGGTTTTACAAAAAGCAGTGATTTATATCGGAAGCAATAACTACGCTCTCGTAATTCGTTGACTGCAACGCAAATAAATTTCCATATCTTTGCCCCTTGACAGCCGCTCATGCTCGACTCGTGGAGTGCTTGCACTTTAAAATTTGTCTCTTTTGTTGTTATACAGATTGTTATACATAATAACTGAAAGGCGCTGTACAGTCGTGAACTAACTGCTTGCATAAAACGTTTCTGCTCCCCAGTATATGATTTTCGAGGTTGGGACATGTCGTATTCACTTAAGTTTTTGTCTGGAGCACAACAATGGTTATGTTAACTACAATAATATTGCATTTGATGACATATAACTGCAGGAACTTCTATTATAATACACCCAGTATTGACAACGTGTACATATTTGAAACTATTTTGTGGTTATGGGCAGGAGATAGTATGATGAAGCCATAAACGTTAAAAGAGTGAATAAGCTCAAAATTGAAATAATATTCTCTGTCTTGACTTATGGCAGTTTGATAATTTTCTGGGTGCAGAATGAAAAGGTCAATATTCAAGACTTGTTCTGTTGCCCTCCATTAACCGACTCCAGGGTTGTCACTAAGATTTCGAGTTGCCGGGTATTTGTTGTTAGTAGCCGGGGAAGTCGCAAGCAGTGATGGAGACCCCCCGCAAGAAGTTTTTGAAGTGCGACTTCTACCGTTGTCCAAAAGGCATTCCCGCCCCAAAAAAGCAATCTTCATCAAGAGTACAGCTATCATTAGCGGTTTTATGATGATCACATCTTTATTAAAGAAAACTACAACATTCTGAGACACTAAAATAATAAGTTTTTACTTTACGTAAAGGCTCACGGCTCGTTAGAGAGTTTTTTTTAGTGGCCGCCAAATGGGAATATACATGTTAGCACCGGAAGTAGTATAAGGGGGTATTTGGGCGAACAAAAGTGAGGGGACATCGGGGACATCGGGGATACTGGAAAAAACCAGTATCACCAGCAAGTCAGTCAAGTCAATCTGGTCTTTGTTCTGTAACCATTTTTGCAGTTAATTCTATCGGGTGAATTTCCAAAACCTAACTAAGTGTCCTAGCCCTAACTAAATATCCTAAACCTAACTAAATGTCCTAGCCCTAACTAAATTTGCTAAACCTAACTAAAATCTGTTGGGCGCAGTGTTTAGACCTAAATCAGTTGGGTGCAGTGTTTAGAGCTAAATCAGCTGGATGCAATGTTTAGGATTAAAACTTTCCCTTACTCTAAAATCTTACCCTAACACAAACTCACAGTTGAGTGATTACAGGCAAGTTTGAACAAGCCCATTGACGTCACCTTTTTGTTTTGTTGAGTCAGCAGAAATTGATACTATTTTTAGAACAGAGGGCTAGCGGGGGATATAAAAGCGGGACAGCAACACATACAGATCATTTGATTACAATTCGTTGAACTGTGCAAACCTCTCATCATGGCAATTACTTACCCACGTCCTTGTCCTATCTGTGGAACCAAAATTAAGAATCGAGGAAATTTCTTCCGTCACAAAAAGTATTGCGGTACTAATACAAGAGCACCATGCCTACATTGTGAAAAAACGTTTTGTCGTAAAGACAAAATGGTGGCTCACGTCAAGAAGTGTCACTCCGAAGCAGCGAAGCGGAAGGCGGAAGAAAGTGCTGAACTCTTACGTCTAGAGTTATTGAATTCTGGAAAGATACCGCGATTAGATGTTGAAGAACAGACCGGCGGAGCAGTGAGCACCCGCGGAACCAAGCGTTCAGCTGAAGATTCCAATCCTGATGTGAAGATGGCAAAGAGGGAACCCGAGAGCAGTGAAACCAAGACTGATGGCGGTACAGGTCCGTTGTTTCAAGCCAACATTGCCAAGATGGGGACTCCTAAAAAATGGAAAAAGGGCAAAGTCATTGATCAAAAATTTACGTTTACGTTGGACTATGTACGGGACCCAAAACCAGAGGAAGATTTAGGGGTAGAAGCAGCTTATGCGTTGACCGAAGGCATGGATACTATGGTGGAAGACATGGAGATTGACCTAAAGAACTATGACCTGGCACTTCAAATTGGAAGCAAGGAACATTTCAAAGAGTCCAGCAATACCGGTGAAACATGGCATATCCCTGCCGACGATTACTTTCACCGTTTGCAAATGACGCAATCGATGTTAGACCATATTGCGAGGGTCTTGAATTCGGGGGAATTTATTTCGTCCGACAGAGGCTTTTCAGCCTCCATGACTCTTTTACGTCGTGATGTGAAAGGCGGAAAACGGACAGGCTACAAGCCAGGAGCCAAAATCTGGGAAGAAGTGGTCAAAGAATTGCGCTGTGTCCATGAAATCAAAAACAAGGATAAATTGTGCTGTGGCCGTGCGATTGTAGTTATGAGGGAGTATGCCAAGAAAAAAGCAGGTGAAAAGAACTGTTACGAAAATATTCGCCAAGATCGAGGCAAGAACAGCCAGCAACTGAAAGAAGCCAAACAGCTATACACAGCGGCAGGCGTGCCCGAAGGATCATGTGGGTACGAAGAAATTCAAAAATTTCAAGACTATTTGGGTCCTATGGGTTACCAGCTGATTGTCGTTGACCCAGTACGTGGTGGTGTCATATTTACTGGAGAACAATACAAGTTTGCGCCTAAAGTGATCCAGATTGTGAAAACCTATTATGAGGACAGTGATGGAAAAACAAAAGCCCATTACGATGGATTGTACAGTGTGGCAGCTGTGATGAACCGTTGCAAGTTTTGTCGTTATTGTTGCAAGGGTTACAATACAGAAGATGCCAAACACCATAATTGTTTGCATGCCAATTGCCCTAGCTGCTAATAACATAAAATTGGTGATTACAGTCATTTACGAAAAAACATGCCTAAACATATAAGATCCCAAGGGACTTTCACGCTCAGACTTGCCCGTTGACGTCATTGCCCCAGGGAACAATGATTGAGTATATCAGGGTGTTGGAATTTGGGTCAAACATAACAGATTTGCAACATGCCAAAAGTAACGTATCCAAGACCATGTCCTACATGTGGAAAAGAATTGAGCAAAGGCCAATTCTTTCATCATAAGAAGCAATGCGGTACAACAGAGAATCGTTATCAATGTCCATACTGCCCTATCTCATTTTCATGGAAGCATCATATGCAATGGCATATACAACAGCAACATTCGAAGACTCCGCAAGGGTTTACCTGTCCAAAATGTCATCAAGTATTCACAGGAAAACAGGGGATGAAAATTCATTTGGAAACTGTGTGTAGTGAGGTAAAATCCTGATACAAATGTTGGCACTGCAACGCATCATTTACAAGACAAAACAACAGGCAAAAGCACATGCGAAAAGTCCATGGACGTGTTTGCAGGGAACACGACATCAATTTGTTTTTCCATCTACAACATTTAAGCGAAGAAGAGAATTTCCAAGGCGAATGGATGTTTGTGGAATCACGCCCGATTGAAGAGAACGAACACAAGATTTGCCCCTGTGGTCAAACAGACATACAAGCTTACTTCTTTCTGGAGAACAAGATCAATGGAAACCGTACTTTTGGGGGTTCTACCTGTATTGAAAACATTGATCCTCGTGTGGGTAAAGTGATTGCTTATTTTGAGTATATTCTAACACACCCCATACAAGGCACATATCAAGGACAAGACAGTGGTGGCCTACAAAGGTTTACAGTCAAGTCAAACACTGTCCTCGTTAGAGGCGCAGAGGTCGTGAAACATTTAAACCCGCAAGTCACCAAAACCATGGAAGGGACATGGGAAGTCTTAGTCAATCACCCCAGGTCAGAGACTCTGATTGAAGGACAAACGTATGACCTACGGTTGAAAGCTAAATATGTAAGAGGACAGTTAACGTTTACTGCATTGTAAATTTTTTCACTATACGTGTAACTAGTTTTAGGAGGTCAATAAAAATCACACAAAGTTTACAGTTGAATCAGGTGTATTTTATTTTTACTGGGTGCTGTTTAATTGTTGATAGAGCTGGGCATATTTAGACTGCAAATCAGTGAGTTCCTGCCTAAGCTGTGCTACAGACATTTTCTGGGGTTTTTTAGAGGTCTTGAGTAACTGGGCGCGTTCACTGAGCCTCTGTTCTTTAAGGATTTGATACTCTGCCTGTTCCTGGGTGAGTTTTTTCTCTTCATCTAGAATCATTTGATCTAAAATGACACAATGGACTTGTTCACAGGCTGCATTCACCACGGCTTGTGATTCGGGTGAATCCATTTTGGGGTAAGGCCTTAACGATTTGAATCGTTTAGGAAAGGTGCCCTTTTTGAGATGGTGTCTGAATCCCTTGATGGCTTTTTCACGATACTTAATACGTGCCTGGATTGCTTGCAGTTTTTGACGGTAACTTTTTAGGGTAGATTTCTTACTTTTCACGGTCGGTTCCATATTTTTCTCAGTGGGTTCAGACACAGTGGTGTTTTCTTGGATAGGTTCAGAGACAGAGTCTTCGAGTGTAGACATGTTTCCCATACAAGAGGTGAGATAAAATGAGACCTTAACGTGAGACCAATGTCAATTTATAGCCTGACCCGTGTAACTTAACTAAAAATGTTATATCAGTCAGACGCGATATTGAGAGTTTTTCTTAGAATTCAATCTACAAAGTTTATGTGGACGATTTTATGGTTGAGTGATTACAGGCATGTTTAGGCAAGCCCATTGACGTCATGCACCTTAATTAGATTAGAATAAAGGACAGTTAGAGTGACAATAGCATTCATTTCACACACGTTACCGTAACGTTAGGAACGTATGATACATAGGGACGAGCGGAATAAAGATTTAGAAGACATGTCGCCAAAATGTGAGCAAATAGAAAGCGAACTGTGCCCTGAAAACCAAGAGAATTTACATTGGATGGAATTAGCCTTGGAGGATCCCTTGTTTCAGGTTAGTTCTACTCAAGTATTTGGAACGAGTCTGTACGTGTTTGACATAACCCAAAAGCCTCCAACAAAAGAGGGTGTGAGAAATTTGGACTTTGAAATCGTCTATCCGATATACCATGAATTGAATGAGATTATTGAGCAAACAAAACCGGCCAAGACAACTCAGATAAAAATCAAGACGTCCTCGAGAGAGCATTGGGAGGCCGTCTATACGTGCGAATTCTGCGGCGATCAGTGGTCTTATAGCAAGGTAGATGAAATCACGGACAGGTTAGCGGATCAGCTTACTATGAAACAAAACTTGAATGGAGGCTTACTTATACAAGTGTCTTTCAAAGAGTAGATCAAAGTCTGCAACTAAAATTCTTAAGTGCGAAAAAGTCTGCAACTAATAATTATTATATGTCGAAAAACACTGCAACTAACAGATGTGACGGGACAGTTAAAAGTTTTAAAAAATTTCCATCTACGTTTCATCTGGGTTTCATCCGCGATGAATCCGCGTTTCATCTGGATTTCATCGTTTTATCTGCGTTTCATCTGCGTTTCATCGTAAAACAGAAAAAGTATAAATTTACGACTTTCGCGAGAATATCATCAGTTCAGTTAACACTTCACGGTGTCAACATGCCTTTTAAGCAGGGACGCACATGTCCTGTTTGTTTGAAAGAAAATCTCTTTTATTTAAGAGATCATTTAAGACAAGTGCATAACCTTTCGAGCGCAGAGAGACAACCGTTGTTAAAATCGGCCACTTATTCACCGACAGTCTCTATGAGGTTACCTAACATGCCTCCTTACCCCTTTTGGGGCATGCCTCAGTACCCAATGAGTATGAATCCACAGTTACCTACGGAAGTACCTCAAAGTATGAATTCAAAACAGTCTAAACCAGCCAAAGTCCAAACAAGTCAGTGTTTAGAGACACAACCTTATCCAGAGTTTAAGTTTCATCACACGTTTTCCATGCTTGTAGTAGGACCGACGCAATGTGGGAAAACCTATTTTGTACAACAACTGCTAACCAAGAATTGTATCGAGTACCCAGATGAGAAATCTACACAGATTTACTGGTTTTATAATCAATGGCAGCCAAGGTATGATGCATTGAAACGAGCGCTAAAAAAGAAAATCCAGTTCACCCAGGGGTTACCAAACCTAAGCGAAGAACTCAATGAAATCAACCCTGAGTATAACAATATATTGGTGTTTGATGATTTGATGTCTCAAGCCATAGATAGTCCTGGGTTATCACAGTTGTTTACACAAGGAAGACATCGCAATGCAAGTGTCATTTTACTCCTACAAAATATGTTTCCGAGGGGAAAATACAACACGGATATAAGCAGGAATGCCCTATACAAGGTGTTGTTTCGATCGCCCGGAGATCGTAAACAAATAGACATCTTAGCGGAACAAACATTTGCGAAGGATCGCCCTAATTTTATGAAGGCATATACCAAAGAAACCGAAAAGCCTTCTGGCTATATTATTTTAGACAACCACCCTCGAACCACCAGCGAGAAGCAAGTCGTAACCGATGTGTTTGGTAACTGTTATACTTACCCGAACATCACAGAAAGTACGCACACAGTCCCAAAGATCCCAGCAGTCACACACAACGTTGAAAGTCCGAAGCGACTAGTCAAACGTAAACCTGAGAACGAAAAGTCACCCGCTAAGAAAGCGAAAACAGTGACACAGTCCGCGAAGAAACCAAGGAAAGTTAAAACACAGCGAGTAAAAAAGACATCATCAGTGAAAAGACCAAGAAAACAAGCTGTCTATAAACCGCAGTTTATAAGACAAAGCTCTGAGGAAGACTCCAACGAAACCGAAAAACCAAGAGATTTATTGACTGAACTAAACGAACTCGCTAAACAGGGCTATTTAGCAAGGCAACCACGCAATGGATTTGGCTTTGATCCTTCGTATGAATAGTTCACTTTGTCAATAACATTGTCAATAAAATATGTTTAAAACCAATATTTCTTGTGTGTTTTACTAGCATACTAAAAATCCCATACATTTTACTATACCGGACTGCCGAGGAAACACCCTTTTCAGTCTAAGCCTTGTAGTCATGACCTGAGCGATCTATCATGGTTCAAATAGAGTCTTACATCCAATAGAGCAAAGGTTCTCACTATTTGG